AGCAACATTTCTTGAGGCTTCCTGGATGATGGAAGTTGGAGATGCAGACATTAACCAACCCCAGGGAACATAGCAGTAGAGCAGAGCAAGGGAGGGGAAAAGGTAGGGGCTGAGTTGTAACTTAAAATATGAGAGTCAAGAGATGACTTACTAAGAAAGTGCCATTTAAGTGACAGACTCAGGAAGGAGAGGGAGGAAGCCATGAAAATATCTGTTAGGAGAGTGTTCCATAGGGAGGGAACAGCATGTGCAAAGGCCCTGAGGTGTGGGTGTGTGCTTAACTGGTTTGAGAAACAGCAGCAAGTTCAGTGGGACTGGAGTAGTTGATGGGGATGAGGGCAGGAGATGAGGTCTTTGGTCCATTGTAAAGATGTCCACTGTGAGGGGGCTAAAGGAGCATTCCAGGGAGACGGGGTGCACGGGCAAAAGCCCTGTGGTGGGACTTTCGGAGGACAATAAGGATGCCAGCATCGCTGGAGTGGAGTCAGCCAGGCAGGGTGTGAGTGATAGGAGGTGAGGCCAGAGTCTGGGTTTTATTCTGTGTTCACAAGCCCTTGGTGGAGCATTTGAAGCTTGGAATGTCATGAACACATGTGCACTTTCGAAGCAGTCCCTCAGGATGTTGCCAGGGGAATGGGTGTAGGAGCAAGAGTGTGTGCAAGGAGCAGGGAGGGTGTCATTCAGTGGTAGAGCACGTGCTTAGCATGCCTGGGGTCCTGGGTTCAATCTCCAGCACCTTCATTAAAAAAACAAAAGAGTGAATGCAGGGAGACCAGGAGGTCCATGGAGAGGTGGCAGTGGAGACTGAGAGAGGTGTGCTTGTTCAAACTATATTCTGGGGGTTGAGCTGATGGGTTTGAGTGATGGGTTGAGGAGAGGGAGGTGGGGGATGGACCAGGGAACACTGCAGGGTGTGTCCACAGGATCTAGAATGGGGTATTAGAAGCTTCATTGGTGATGCATTTGACAAACCCAGGCCGAGACACTGGATGTGCAATCCTGGAGCTCCGAGGAGCGCCTGGGCCAAAGACATAAGTTTACAGGATGGAGTTTGCAGCTTCGGGAATGCATGAGGCTCTGCAGATAGCTATGTCGAATGGAGTTCCCACATGCAGCGGGGAACGTGGGATGACTCATGGGTGTGGCATATCGCTGTAGGTTATAGCTGCGCAGAGGGGAGGGCATCCAAGATTAAGTGCCAGATTAAGCTTAGAGGTTGCATGATAAAAAAATAACAATAACAATAATAATTGCTAATATTTGAAGTGCATCACATAGTTTAACTCACTTCCTGTGGAGCGTTATGAAACAAGGACTGTCCTTAACCTCATTTTACAGAGAATTTGAGGTACAGAGAGGTCAGGACAGCAAAGGGCAAGAGCTTATATTTGAACTCCAGCATTCACTGTCTTAACCACTCCAGTCACAGAGACTGGGAAGGAACCTGTGACAGAATTAGGCCTGAAGAACCCAGGAAGCATAGAGCTGGGCGTGGCCTCTTCAAAGCGGAGAGGGGAGAGGTCTTTGAATCAAATCCCAAAGGATGAATAAAAGCTCACCAGGGAAGGAGTGGGGTAAGACCAGGAGATTGTGTACTCAGAGGGAAAAGAGATCCCCATTTAGAACCAGGTAGATCTGCCAAGTCTGAAGCCCAAATGCTGCTCCTTAGTTGTGTGACCTTGAGAAGACTCCTTGCCCTCTCTGGACTTCAATGTAGTCATCCGTAGCGAAGCTGCAGCTTCTTCACCCACCCGCTCCCCGTGAGATTACTAAAAATTAAACTGTCAGACAGCAGCAAGGATGTAGGATAAAGGTGGATGTGAGACTCTGCACCTACTTGGGAGGGCAGTCTGACAATATCTAGGGAGATAAATCTGCCTTCCACAAAGCAACTCCACGATCAGGTGCTGAGGAATTCTCACTCATGAAGAATTCACAGCAGCCATATCTGTAACAGCAAAACTGCCCATCGGCGTGGGCATAGATAAATCGGCGGTTGTATATTCATATCCTAGAATATTACACAAAGTTGAAAAGAAGGAACTAGACTTATATGTATTTAATTAAAAACCCTGTTCATCACCTGCCAGCCCTGCAACCCCACCGTGCTACCCATTTTAAAGATGAGGAAACACAGTCATGGAGAAGTTGGGTGACTTGCTCAGGCAGGGACTGAGCCAGAAAGCAGGCGCTGAGAGGAGTGTGCAGTGTGCAGGTATTAGCGCCATCTCCCTAGTTGTAGGCAGCTGAGGCGTGCGGCAACAGTGTAGCAGCAGGGAGTCCCGCGTGTGCAGCTGAAATGTAAAGACGTGCCTGGGCGCCGTAAACAACTCCAGGCAGTGGCTCCCCGACCAAGGGCAAGGGCGGTTTGGCCTCACAGGGCCTGTCACTGCAGTGCTGCTGCTTTCTGCAATGTATACTTTAATGAAAACCTTGAGTCGATCACAGGCTAATGGACCATGAGCATGTGGCCATACCTTAGAGCGCATTTCAAGTACACACAGACCCAAGGAGCATGCCTGCACTTGACGGGCCGACATTTTACCAAGATGACAGCTGCAATCTGTGTTCTTGACAGAGTCCTCCTAAACCCAGCGTCTTGGTCTTGGGGAAAAAATCTTCAGTGATTCATTGCTAATGGGTTTCCCCCCAACCTTTTTTTTTGTCCATTTTTTAATTATCACTGCTGATGGTTTTTAAAATTCCTAGTGTGTATGACCATTGGCAGGATTTCCTAGCTTTCCTCTTAGGGTATTTAACAGGCATGGGAAAGGTATTTAATTAAGAATGGTGACTAACAGGAAGGCACAGCCGAGGTCTCCGCAATGCTGGGCGTCAGGGTGGAAACAGACTCTTGTTCTGTTAGCCTGAGCATGTTAGCAGGTGGCAGAGCAGGGGTTTCTGCCACTGGAATGGCTGGCGGCAGAGTTCACAGTGACCACGGCTGACATGCCTGGCATCGCGGACACCATCCTTCTGTCTGGTTTTCCATGCAGAGTGGGAAAACGTCTTAATATGCTCGCTTGGCTAGAAAAATAGAGGGGGAAGGAATTCCAGGTAGAGGAGACGGCACAGACAAAGCTCAGAGGTGCGGACAGCTTGAGAAGCAGGTGTGGACAGCACGTTGTTTGGGAGAAGATGTGGTAAGGTGATTCTGGGGAGGTGGGCAGGGGCAGTTTATGAAGGAAGATGAGGAATGTCCCATGTTCCATGGCCGTACAACTTCATGAATGTACTAAAAACCACTGAACTGCACACTTTAAGTGGGTGAATTGTAAGGTATGTGAATTATAGTTCAACAAAACTGTTGTTAAAATAAGTCTTTGGGCCAGTCAAGCTAGAAGATGAATCATCTTTTTATTCTCCCTGTACAAAATGGCATATATAGTAAATTTATATGTCATATAAAATTGTTGCAATGTAGAGATTATTGAAGTGTATTAAGCCAAAAAAGCATAGGATAGATCATGTTACAGAAATGTTCCAGGTAGTTTATTATAGGATTTTCCCCCCTTGCGAAAAATACAGAATAAGCAGGTCAGGGACCTCAGGAAATTGAAATAATAATTGCCCTTATTATATAAGCTAGTTTAGTCCCAATTCCTGTAACTGGTAGCTGAGAGAATCCCACTGAATCACCAAGGTGGCTGTGAGGTCAGGGAGAAGATTGGGGTGATGGTCCAGTTGAGTCAGGGTGAGGCAGGAGCAGGGGCCCAGCAGGAGCAGAGGGTCAAAACCAAGAGAGGTGAGACTCAGTTCTCATATCTCTCAAGGTGACGAGGATGGTTATGAGCCTTCCTGGATGTGGGACACGCCTTTAGGAGGGGTCCTGGCCAAGGGGACCCCCACTGCAGGCATACCTGGACCCTGTGCCACCACTGGCACCATCAGGAGCCCAGGCCATCCCTCTCTAGCTCCAAGATCCCGTGGGGACACAGGTGAGGCATGTAGCTGAGGTGAGGGGGTCAGGGGGTTTGTGTGGTGGGCTGGAGAAGTTGACTCCAAATTTCCCAGTGGTGACCCAGCTTTCACCCTGGAAAGCCCCAGTAGAAATGTATTCTGGGAGGAGGGTAATAGCTCAGTGGTAGAGCTCATGCTGAGCATGCAGGAGGTCCTGGGTTCAATCCCCAGTAACTCCACTAAATAAATAAACTTAATTACTTACCCCCCCCCAAACAAACAAAAAGGCAAAAACAAAAAAAGGCATAAAAGTATTTGTCTTGATTCCGGAGATGACCTTTCCGAGACCTCCTGCATTCCCCCTCATGCTTCTGCGCCTCCAGCACCTGCTACCGTCTTTCTCTTCCTTCACCCATCTCGGCCCATCGGGCTCCCTCCTGCACCAGGTACCCCTCCACACTCCTACATTCCCCATACCCTCTCCTGCTTCCTCCCCCACCATCCTGCACCCCCACCACGTTTGCACTTCCCCCTGCATCCTAGGGTACTCCGCCAACGTCCCCGCTCCCCAGCCCGCCCATCTCCGCATCGCCCCCAGAGGGAAGGACGCCAGGTGGCGCCTGGAGACATCGGAGGAGACGGGGAGGTGGGGCACTAGGGCCGGGCGAAGTCTGCCGGCGACCCGTGACATCACGAGGCTCTCTGCCTTCTCATTGGTCGGTCCGTCCATGGAGGGCGGGCCGGGCCTCAGAGTGGGCGGGGCAGACTGACCTCGGCCGTCCGTCTTTCTTCCTCCAGGTTCCGCAAGGAAGCCGTGTCTGGAGCGCCGCCTGCAACGGCCCACTGTGGCCAGGACGGTGCCCCACGCCCCTTCCTCAGCTCCCCCCGCCTCGTCGGGGCCCCCAGGCCCTCTCCTGACTTCTGACTCCACGCCGCAGTTCATCCCCGCTGCCGCCGTTTCAACACCGGAGGTGACCTCTGACCTTCGTGCCACCTTGCCACCCAGCCCAGAATCGGCCTCCTGGGTGAACTCTCACCACACCTTGACAACCCCTGGCCTTACCTTGTCCACCCCTGATGCCACCGTAGTTCCAGCGCTGACCTCTGGGCTTCCACCCACCCTCCCGCCCACTCCTCCCAAAGAACTGACCTCTGACCCCTCTGTACCGGCAGCGGTGACCCGCCTTTCTCCTACCTCAGAGCTATCACCGGAATCTCACACAACCCCAGGCTGGGACACAAGGCCATACCCTAGCACAGTCCCAGAACCTCCCAGTTCCCCAGACCCCTCCACAAGCCCTGACCCCACTGCCACCATAACCTCTCACGCTGCCACTACCTCTTACCCCACTGCCACTCTTTACCCCACTACGACCTCTCACCCCACCACGACCTCTCACCCCACCATGACCCATTACCCCACCATGACCTCTCACCCCACCACAACCCCTTACCCCACCACGACCTCTCACCCCACCACAACTGCTTACTCCACCACACTCTCTCACCCCACCACAACCCCTCAGCCCACCAACGACGTCTCGCCCTGCCACAACCCCTCACTCCACCACAACCCCTCAACCCACCACAACCCCTTACCCTGCCACAGCCCCTCACCTTGCCACCACTACTTACCCCACCATGACTCCTGACCCCACCTCAACCCCTGTGGTCACTACCAAGTCCCTTCTAACTTCCCTGGGGACAGAACTTCCCTCTCCCTCTCCGGCACCAACAGTCAAGCCCAGCCTGCACCCCCGATTGACCTTCACATCCGAGATGTGGAGCCCAGAGCCCCCTCCAGCGTCAGAGTCCAGCCGCTCCAGGCCCTCTCCAGTCCCAAGCATGGACACACTGTCCACTGAGAACTTCACTCAACCTAGAAACCAGAGCCCCAAACTAACGTCTCCACCTACTCATACTCCACACTCAGCCTCTGACCTCACTGTGACCCCTGACCCGCACCTGCCCCCTATTGCTCACCCCTTGGATCAACCTCCTCCTGACCACCTCACCCTAGGGCCAACTCCTGGCCAGAGCCCAGGCCCCCTTGGCCCATGTGTGGCCCCAGTGCCACCTGTAAGGGTCATGGCTTGTGAGCCACCTGCCTTGGTAGAGCTGGTGGCTGCTGTGAGGGATGTGGGTGGCCAGCTGCAGAGGCTGACCCAGGCCCTGGAGCGGGACCAGCGGGAGCGCCAAGCCCTGGGACTGGGGTTGGCCCAGCTGGTGGAGGCTGCCCAGGGCCTGGGTCATCTGAGTGAGGTTGTGAAGAGACTGGCAGAGGTGGCCTGGCCCCCCACCACATCTGCACCAACCACTACCACTCCAGAGGAGGAGGAGAGGCCTCTAAGGGGAGATGTGTGACCCTACCTGAGATTTGAGAGACTTAAGACACTCCCAAACCAACAAAGGAAAACCAAAGTATCTAATTAAAAACAAAACATGAATGATGTTTCTGGAGGACTGGGGCAGATGGAGTCATGAGATTGATCTATTTGTGAATACCACAGTCACCATGCAAGGTGGTGATGATGATGGTGAGGATCATGGTGAAGATGATAATGGTGATATTATGATAAGGATAAAAGTGATGGTGATGATCATTATGATGATAACAGTGGTGATCATGGTGATGAAGACCATAGTAATGATAATCATGATGGTGATGATGGTGAAGTGGTCATAGTGATGATGGAATGATGGTGATAATGGTGATGAAGATGCTCATGGTGAT